GGGGGGGGGGGGGGGGGGGGGGGGGGCCCCCTGGATGGGTTGCCCTTCACCTCCCCCACAAACCGGCCGATGTGGGTAAGTTGACCACCTAAAGACGCCATCCATCGGGTGCCGGCTTGGTCTAGATGACCTCTGGGATCCAGGCTGGGCAATGGGGAAGGGAGGGAGGGAGGGAGGGGGGGGTGCAGGGTCTGAAGGATGGTCTCCTAGGGCTGCTCCAGAGGAGTGCGAAGGGTGGGTTATTCCCCCCCCCCAGTTACCCCCCTCCTCAACCAATAAATAAGCGGCTGGACAGGGTCTCCTCTGCCTCTTCCCCCTCCCCACATATTCGGGGAACTAAAAGAGGGAGGGGGGAGGCGGCCAGCCCCTCTGCTCCTTGACCCATATGGGTTGGGGGGGAAAGCTGGCTTGGGAGCCGACTCTGACCTCCCCCCCCCTTCCTCTGCCCCTCGGCATTTGGGCCCACTGCCCCGAGACCCCACACGTGCCTACCATTAGGCTGGAGGTGCCGGCACCCCCCACCCCCCTGCATCCAATCCCCTCCAAAGGGGGGGACGGGGAACTCACCCCTTCGGAGGCACCGGAGACGACATGACGGTGCTCGGCAGAGACCCGGCCGCGGTTCATGGCAACCTTCGGGTGGGTGGGTGGTGGGCGAGCCGGACCCTTACCCTTTCTCGTTCTCCTTAGGGCTCAGAGGAAGGAGTGGCAGCACCATAACCTGCAGGGGAGAAGCGGGGTCAGTGAGGAGGGGGCAACTCCGTCCCACCCTGGGAACAGTCCTCATCCAAGCGACGCGGCAGGGACCGAGCCGTCTTAAAACTCCCCGGCCAAAGATGCCTCCCTCGGGGCTCTGGGCGCCTCCCTTCCCGTGCCAGCCTTGCCACCTTGGGAGTCGGGGCTGTGATGGGGCTCCGTGCCCACCTGGCATTCGCATGGAGGTGGCCCCTCTAGGGGGACTGCAGGGCTCCGATCATCCGTGAGATGTTTATGGGCGCTTCTCCCGGGATGCCAACCGTTTTGGGGAGGGGGATTCGGTTGGCACCCCGGGAGAAGCGCCCATAAACCGGCTGCTGGCTCAAAGCTCTCCCCATGCCATCGGGTATGCCAACTGCTCAGCGAGAGCCACGGAGAGAGGAAGGGGCTCGGCTGCATCCCTTCCCCCTCCCTCGCCCAACGGGGAAGCAGAGGGTTAAGGCTCACGGGAACCATTCACGGGGGTCCCGAATGAACCCCTCACAACCATCAGTTGGAGGCCGAGGCTGCCGGCAGCCGGTCGTAGGCACCGGCCGGCAGGGAGGGCGTTGCCAGTTGGGTGGGGGAGGCCCTTTGCTGCCAATCATTCAACGGTGGACTTTGGCCCTCCAGCCTTCGGTGGGTCACGAGTGCGGGACAGGCTTCAGAAGGGATTAGGTGGCTTACCTCCGCCGGCCCCCCTCCCAAACGGGCTGCCCGGCTCCCTTGGGCACCACGCTGCCAGGCGCTAAACCAGCCAGACGGACGGAGGGCGAAATGCCTGTCTACCCCCCCCCCCCAAGAGGTCTCCTTCCTTCAGTGCCAGCCCTTGCGAGTGGCACACGCACCCCTCCGGGACTGGCAGTGTGAGGAGGGCAGCCGGGGGTTTGGGACTGGCGGCCAAAGCTGGCAGGGGGGCAATTCGGGCAGCAAAACCAGAAGCCTCATCCTCAGAGCCCACGGATAAGCCCCGGCAAGTGGATTCCCCCCCCCCCCCCCCTCCCCCACCCTGCTGCCGGCCAAGGGCTGCGGCCACATTTGTCTTGGCCCTCCCTCCGCTCCCTCTCGGCAGGCGCCAAAATCAACCCCAGGTCCAGCGGCCGGCCGGTTTGATCCGGCCCAAACCGAGCGGCCCCTTCATTGTTGCCATCATCCCGGCCCCCTCCCCACCCCAAGTGGGCTCCTTCACGGGAGGGGGCTTCACGGTGGCACAGAGGTCGCCGCCTTTTCGTCCGGAAAGCAGCCTCTGTGCATAGGCAGAGTGCCTTTCACTAACGGCGTTTGCGGGACCCCAGCCCACCAACCCACCTTGGCTGGCCTGACCCCCATCTCCCCCTCCCCCCAAAGCCATGGAGCACTCACCTCTGCCCCTCAGCTGCCCCAGAGCCTCTGTGCCCTGGGACGGAAGGGCATCGGGGGGGAAGCGGAAGGGGGCAGCCGGCGGGTGACTCGCCCTCACAAGACCTTGGCTCATTTGCTTGGGAAACGGCACAAGCCCCCACCCCACCCGTGGCACACACTTTCCATGAACACGTGACGGAGAAGATCAGGCTGCTCCAATGCCCTCCCCCGGTGCCAGGGGTGCCCCCCAGCCCCCACATCTGCTGCCCCCTTCCCCAAGCCAAAGGCTTCCCTTGCAGTCCCTTCCTCAGTAGGAACCGCCCGCCCCCAAATAAGGGGGAGGGGATTTGTCCCTTGGCCCCAGCTCAGATGCTCCCGGGCAGGGGCAGGTGGGGGAGGAGAGCTGGCAGCCCAGACTGGCATCCCCTGTTGAGGACCAGAAGGGCCACAAGGCGGGCACCACAGGGCACCCCGGAAGCAGGGCATGGGTGGGGGGCATCCCCTCCCTCCCAGGGTAACCTCTGGTGCCCACCCTCCTCACAGCTGGGCTGGCCAAGGCTTCTGCCCATCTCCCAGCCTGGCATCAAAATCCCAGGGGCCGGTGGGGGAAATCAGGGGTCCTGCCTTGCCACAGGCCCCCCTTCTCCTGCCCGCTCTGGTGCCACCCTGGAACCATGGAAAGGGGGGGTGGCTGGGGGGGGGGAGGAAGCAGGATTTGGCAACTCCGCGGCTGCATTCCAGGGACGAGTCCCGGCTGGCCCGGCTAAGGCGATTACGGGCACCGCGTTGCCACCCAGGAGGCTTGGCTCCAACCTCTCCAGATTCCTCAGGATGCCCTCCCCCCCCCAGTGGGGGAGGGACAGAGGCAGCAGGCAGGGTGAGGGTCTCACCCTCTCCCCCCCCACAAGGAATATCCCTCCCTCCTTGGCAGAGAGAGAAGGCCCGGCTCCAGCCGCGATAGAGTGCCCTCCAAATTCGGTTGCGTGGCATTGGAGAATAGCGATGCCATCGGGTTGTCTAACTCAAGACCCCAGCCCCGAGCACAAGGAAGCCCCCTGCCCTAGAGGAAAGAGAGCGGGCAGGGGGCTGACGAGGGCACCCAGTGGTCTCCTGCCCCTCAGCGGGCCTGTTAACTCGGTCTCTCCTGCTGCCTGCTGCCCCAGATGAGCCATGTCCCCCGACTGATAAACCCCCAAGGACCCCAGCGGAACCCAGTCCCAACAGCTCCCTTTCCCAGCTGGCAAAGGCTTCCATGCCAGGCCAATCTGGGTGGGGAAACGACCCTTTTCCTCTCGTGCCCGGGGGTCTTGAGACAAGCCCATCAGGCGCTTTCCCTGGCACCCAAAGACGGCTGCAGAAGCCAAGGTGTGTGTGGGGGATGAGTTGCTGCCAGGATGGTGCCCGCTCCACCAACAGACCTTCCTAGAAACGCTGCCCAGATGCCAAGGGAAACCACCGGGGCTTCTCGGTGGTATCTGAACCCGGCAAGGCAGCTGGCACAGAAAGTAAGTGTTCAACAGCCGGCTCAGGCGAGAGAGGTGCCCGCGGGCCGAGAGTCTTCCTGTCCCAGCCGTTGGGGGGGAGTCATGGTGCCCCCCAGCAGGCGGGGTGAGACATCCCAGCCCCTCCAGATAGCGAGTCTCAAAGACTCCACCAACGTGGTTACCGGCTGCTGGAAACAGGCATGATTTTTAGACAGGAGGGCAGACGCCACGCTGTGGGGAGGGTGGCCCACCCAGGCAGAGCCGAGGTCACCCACGCCTGCTAAAAATAGCCCCCCCCCAACCTCCCCCCTCCAACACGACTCAGGGTGAATCACCAGAAACCACAAGAGTCCAGAGGCGGGCAGAGCCCGGGTGGCAGGAAGGGGGCCGTCCTGCTCTCCATGGGAACCATTCTGGCATCCCCTCCACCTGTGGGACCCGCTCTGCCAAGGCCGAGGGGAAAGGAGGACCCTTCTGGCACTTGGAGACCACCCCCCCCACCCAAAATCCATCCATCTGCGAGGTGGTACCCAAAGCCCCTGGATGCCTGCTGCTTGGCACTTCCTGTCCCAGCCAGGCTGGGAGAACCGGCGATGCCCCCATTTGGAGGCAGTTGCAGCTTCCTCCAGAGAGGAGCTGGGGGGTGGGGGGGAGCCTGGCTTGGTAAAGGAAGGGCGATGGGCCAATCTGTGGGGCACCTGCATGGGCGTGACCCAACTTACGGTGGCCAAGCGTGCCCGCTGCTGCCAGAGAGGGGACGTGAATGGTCGGAGACCCTCAGGGACCCCCCAAACCGACCTGCCAGGCTCCCATGCTCCATTTTCACCCTGGCAGCCCCACGCCCGTCTCCCAGGAGCCAAGGGGTGCCCCGTCTGCCAACCGGGCATCACAGCAGTGGGAAGAGCCAGGCGGGCCAGGACGCCTCCATCCCGACTCACCCATCGCTCCCTGGGCTCCTGCTGCCGCAAAAGCGGCCGGGTGCCACGTACGACTCACCCAGAGCACCGGCCGGCCGGCCTCGGAGACTGGCAGCAGCCCACCGGGCACCCTCCCCCGCATCCAGTGCAGCAGCTGTGCCCAGACGAAAGACCGGCTCAGGAGGGAGCGGGGGGGGGAGGAGGCTGACACACACACACACAAACACACACACACACACGCCCCTCCCCGAAACGAGACCCTCACCTGCCTCCAGCTCTCCCTGGCACAGCAGCACCGGGCAGCTTGGATACCCGGAGGGGCAAGGGGGGGTGGGGGTGGCAGGGCGTCTCTTTGTTCTTCCCTGGCGTCAGCAAAATGCCCTTTCGCCCCCCCCCCTCCCAAGCCTCCTAAGCCCCCTCGGTTGCAGCCTCCGCCACTCTGCCCGGCCGTCCCCTCCTCGCTTCCTCACCGCCCGATGCCCCCTCCCAGGAAAGGGAAGGGGAGGGCTCGGCTCGTGGGCAGATGGGAGGGGGGGACGCTTTGCTCCATCCCAGGACGCCCTCTGCCCACCCGGAGGAACTTCTGCCTGTCGGGGTGTGAGGGTGTGTGAAGGTGCCACTCTCCTCCCGGGGCACTTTCCTTCCCGTGCCCCCACCCCTCCGCACACACACCCCCGGCCCAGGGAGGAGGAGATGCCCGGCCCCTCGAGGCTGCCAACGGATGGTTACAGCCTCGGGCTCCCCCCTCGTAAAAATGCCCCCTGCCAGGCCTCAGAAGGGCAGCAGCCTGGCAAAGCGGGGTGGGTCGGCTGCCCCCCCACCATGGGTACCTGTCAAGCCAACTGGGGAGGACGGGGGGTGGCCCCCAACAACACCTTCATAGCCCAGGGTGCCAGGGTGCCAGGGCTGTGCCCGCCTGTCCCTGTGTGGGGAGGGGCAGGATCAGGGGAGCGGAGGACGGGGGAAGGAGGGTGCCCGCTCTGCCAGTCAGCGGTGACGGCCTCTCTACCACCCCCCACCCACCCATAAGGCCCTCCCTCCCTCCCTCCCTCGGGGAGTCCTGGACCAAACGGCCACAGTTCCCATCGCCAAGGGTCACTTTTTCTCCCGATTTGGCGACCGTGCCTGGTGCCGTTGTTAAGGGAATCCCTTCCGTTAGTAAGATGGTCGTTAAGAGAGGCAGACTTGACTTTGCTTGTCAGCCGGTCGGCAGAGGGGAATCACGTCTGTTTCTTTGCTTATTGGGTTTATATGCCGCCTTTCTCCCGAAGGACCCGGGGGGGGCGTACAACGTTAAAAAACAACAACAACACATATTACAAAAGTTACAGAGAAAGTTAGATAAGAGGATCCAAAAACAAACCCAATTAAGATTCACAATAACTTTTTAAAAGTTAAAATTAAAATTAACAACAATCAATCATTTATCTT